GGGCATATCGGTAGGGTCGTACATTGACGGGGGCTTGCCCTTCCTTCAACGGAATCTGGTGGTCCACTGCTCTATTAGGAGGTAGCTCTTGGGGTTTTTGGAGCAAATCAAGGTATTCATGGATGAGTTCTTCCACTAGAGGGGACAGGGCATCGAAAACTTCCTCTGTTTCTCCCTCTAGCGTAATTAGGGTTCGCAGCTCCACTAAATATCCTTGGTCGTGGTTTTCCCATTGTTTCGCCAATCTCTTCATTGTTACCTCCAGACGTTCCAAGGTCGGATCACCCTGAATGGTAATCTGTTTACCCCTCTATCAAATCTCAACGTCAGAGCAAGCCAGTCGGCCTCCATTTTGCCCATGGTTTGGAGCCACTGCATCCCTAGGACAACATCTAGGGTTCCCAGCTCTAAGGGAAGAAAATCCTCCTGCATCGTAAGCTCTGGYAGAGACAACACAATCCCTTTACAGATGCCATTTCCCTTCACCGCAATTCTAGCCCCCTTATCACCCCATAGCTCACTGTTTCTGTTTTAGCCAAACTCAGTTCGTCTGCCAACGACAGTGATATGAAGTTGTGAGTTGCTCCACAATCTATCAACACCACTACCTCTCGTCTTTAGATTGCCCCTTTTACCTTAATCGTCCCAGGTGTTGAAATCCTTTGACAATCCACGATCTTTCCCGCCTTTTCTTCAGTATCTTCTTTCTTTTATTCTGGTAATGTTTTGTCTTCCATCTCAAACATTTCTTTGTTGTGTACTACGAAGACTCGGAGCTCTCGATTTCGACACTTATGGCCAACCATGTACTTTTCCTTACWGCGAAAACACAGCCCTCGTTCCTTCCTCTTCTGAAACTCAGCCTCTGTTAATTTCTTGAAGGGAGATTCCTTCTTCGTTGTCTGCGATGTTCTTGCTACTTGCGTCGATAAGGGAACCTTACTTGAAAGTGTTACAGTACAAGTGGGTATTACCTCTAGGGTTTTGGAGACTGTTTTCCCCATTGTTGGGCCAACTTGGGCCTTCTCCGTGGTGTTTTGTCCTTCAGCTTCCAAACTCGCAGTATTAACGTCATCGATGAGTTGGGCCTTTCGCACCACTTGATCCAACCCTTAGGGTTCCAGGGCCCGAACTTCTGCACGCATCACTGGGTTGAGCCCATTTAAGAAAGCAGTTTCCAGCACCTCGTCGGAAAGTTGAGGAAGAGTCGCCGCCAGAGCTTCGAACATCTGGCGATACTCCGCGAATGTTCCCTCCTGTTTGATCGATAATAATCGTGCGCATTGCCTTCCTTCTCTTGCCGGATGGAATTGGTCTCGTAGTCGTCCTTCAAGATCGTTCCAGTCGCAGAATTTCTCTCTGTTATCAGTATACCGATACCAAGCCAAGGCTATACCGTCAAAAGTGATGATGGCCACGATCATCTTCTCATCCTCCGACAACTTTGGATTTCGTAATATCGCTCAGCTCGAAAAATCCAAGACTCTAGCTCCAGACCTGCAAAAATCGGCATCTCGACCTTTTTAAAATGATTTCTATTAGTTGTCTGGTTTTCTGAGACTTCTTCCCTAGTTGTTTTCCCTTTCGTTACCGAAGTGTCTCGTTACCGTCGAAATGGATTGGGATTTGCCTCCGATGACTTGCACCATGAACGCCTTCAGCGTCGCATGAATACATTTGCTCAACTTCTACTGCTCATCAAACTTTTGATGTAGCAACGTGATTTCAACCTTCACCTCTGCGATGTCCTTCTACACGGCCTCACACCTGGTTTCAAGTTCCTTCACCGTCATTTTTGCTTCAATGTGCCCGGTATCGACGCGCTCTGATACCAATTTGTGAGGTAACAACGCCTCACGATTCCGTTAAACTTCAAAATATAAACCCGGAGTGATTCAATAGAGCAAGAACAGCCCGAAGGCAATAAAATGACCCACCAATCTGAGAGGGTGGGGAATCTCTCCCTAACAGCCCAAAAGCTAACAAGCACAAAATTCTAGAATGCTCTGCTCGGCCTACATTCCCTTCCCTTGTAGGTAATCTTCCTTCCTACCTACGTATAGCTGGTCCCCCCTTCTCTCTCTTGGCCGCTATGACCCTCCCCCCCTACAATGACTTCTTTACCTTTCCTACTATATTTTTTTACAATTGGAGGCATAACAACTTTTTCTTGGCTTTAAAGGAGAGCATTAAGGGGTAAAGGAGCTTTATTTTCGGTTGGTTTTTGTGGGGATTTGAAGAGTCTATTTGCAGCTTTCATTGGGATGTTTATACCCATTTGGTTCGGATTGGTCATTGTTTCGTTCACCAAGGAGTCATTTATTCTTTCCAGTTTTCAAATGGCTGAGAATTTGAAGAGTCTGTTCGCAACATTAGGTTTCTTCCTTTTTAAAGAAATAGATTCTGTATATTGTCTTTTACATTTGAAGTATATCTTTGGAAAGCTGTGAGGTTTCTCCTCCTGCATCAAGTGCTTTCTTTACAAACTTCTCTTTACAAACTTCAAAGGAAGACCTCCTGGATTTTCTTCTTCAAGTGTGAAAAGAAGACATTATTTCATCTATCAAGTTTATCTCTAGCTTATCTCCCTTGCAATTGGATGATTATTCGTCCTTGCTGAAATCCAAGATTGTCAAGCTCCATGAAAAAAGGGCTGACAGTTTATAAAAGCACTCTAGAAGAAGGCAGGAGTTGAAAGCCGAACGGGATAAAGAGATTGCTGAAATTGGGGCTAAATGAAGAAAGGGCTTTGTATCACTCACTGACCGAGCGACCACGATCCATTTTGTCTTAAACCAATGCAAGAGTGGGTGAATGAGGTGAAGAATAATAAAACTCACGAGGAAAGGATGACGGGGAGGAGAGAAGAGAGAAAGCGAGAAGAAGAGATAGAGAGAAGGGGAAGTGAGAGAAGAGATAAGGGAAGAAGAAAGAAGGTGGGAGGAGAGAAGTGGAGAAAGGAGAAAAAAAGAAGAGAGAGAAGGAAATGAAAATTAAACATTTTTTTTGGCTAAAATACACTTTTAGTCTTTAAATTATAGGTGTCTGTTTAGTCCTTAAGTTTAAAATAGTAAACGTTTGGTCATTGGCCTTCAGAAAATGGTTCTAAATGGTCCCTGGGCTTATTTGACCGTTAGTTGACTAACGAAAAAATAATGTGTCATAATTGAGTTGACAAATTTTAAATGATGTGGCAAGATTAAATAATTTTATATTATTTTTATCTTATGATTTTTTTTATGATTTTTTTCTCTCTTTCCATCTCTCTCTTCGCTCCTGTTTTTCTCTCTTCCTCCTTCTTCTTCTCCAATTTTGGCTAATCGAGGCTTGACGTCATCCCAAGCGGCCCCCTCTAAGGCATTGGCGGAGGCCGTCTCTGTTGGTGGTTTGGGTAGTAATTGGAAATGGCCAAACCAAGGGGTGGGGGGTTTCCGACTAACCACATGGGTGGTGGCCCAGTAGTTTGTAAAAGGGGTCTTGGTTGGCTTTAATCAATATGAATTATGAAATACGTTTCTCCCGAGTATATGAACAAGTTTTTCACTTTGAATGGCTCCATGTAATGCCATCTGCTTCAACCACCCTCATATTATGACCCTGTTCCACCAAAAAAAAAAAAGAAAGAAAGAAAGAAAAAAAACAGAGCAATTTTAGTACTCATTCAGACCCATTTTTTTTAGTCATTATAGCGAGTGAAGTGAAATTAGATGTGATCTCACCTCAATTTTGAAACTGAGGGCTGCAAGAGAAGTGAGGCTTGAAACCCTCAATTGGTAAGTTTTTTCGGGTACGACTGTTAGTGCATGAGGAAAACATTCTCGGCTGGATGAGTTGCAGCGACCTAAATCTGAAGTTGAAGAACCCAGCTGAGAGCAATTGAATCTCCCCCTTCCTTGGATCAGAAGCGACTGCGAGAATTATAAAAACGAAGAACCCAATTAGTAAAATCAATTAGATGTGGTTAGCCTGCGTGGAACGACGTTAGGCCCGATTAGCTGAAACTGGAGAAGAAGGGGAGGAAGAGAGAGGAAGAGGAGGGAAGAGAGAGGAAAGAGAAAAAAATAACATATAATTATTTAATCTTGCCACATCATTTAAAATTTGCCAACTCAATTATGCCACATCATTTTTCCGTTAGTCAACTAACGATCAAATAAGCTCAGGGACCATTTAGAACCATTTTCTAAAGGTTAGGGACAAAACTGTTACTTTTTTAAACTTAAAAGGATCAAATAGACACTTATCCTCAAATTCAAGGATTAAAAGTGTATTTTACCCACTTTTTTTAATTAATGTACATTTTTTATTCTGGTTGTATAAAGTGGACTGCAGTATTGCACAACAGACTATAATTGAAACGATTGAATGTTGATTTTTATATATAAAAAACTGATGCTGACCGAGTTGACCAATATCAGCTCGATCGGTTTTCGTCAGTTGGGTTGGTTTTTCATTGTTGTGTGTTCATTTCTACCCTAGTACACTTTACTAACTGCACTCCCCTTTACACGATGATGGATTAAGCCTGGTGCAGATTGTGCATCTTCAATGCTGCTACTTTTCTTTGTAAATGGAAAACGAGGGCTAGAGTTTGTCAATTCCTCCTCCCCCTTTTCTGCCCTATCCTTTATAATTGTCTTCGCTACTACAAGATGCTGTCACTCGATCATCTCTTCGAGCCTCAACCATCTCAAGCACTACCTCTTCTTCTTGAAAACAAGTGTAGAACTGACCTGGTAATTCATCTGATTGATCATCAAATGGTGAGGTATCCTCCATGGGCTTGAAATGGACATATCCGAGGGACTTTAACGTATTTAAAAAAGAAAAAAGAACTGGGATTACATTTTCTTGTCAAATACGGTTTCCTGATCCTAAAAGAGGCAGGTTTATGTTCTATTGTTCTATGTCTCATTCGTTTCAAATTATTGAGAATTTTCATCTTTGTTTTTGCATTTTCTGACTTTCCAATTGCTTTTGTTTCATGGCTTTCTAATCAGGCTAGTGGCAAGCTTATGGTTCTAGATCAACTACTTCAGAAACTACATAATTCTGGACATCGTGTCCTCTTATTTGCTCAGATGACCCAGACACTTGATATAATACAGGTTTGAGGTTTCTCTTAACACATTCAAGCTCATTGATTTATATTTTCATTGAGCCATAAAAGCCAATGTCATGTTTAAAGCATCTGATATGTTTCTCACACATTAGGACTTCTTGGAGCTGCGGAAGTTTTCCTATGAGCGTCTTGATGGATCAATTCGAGCCGAGGAGCGTTTTGCTGCAATAAGGAGCTTCAGCTTGAATTGTGCTGGGGGGACTTCTCAAGCAACTCGTACTGATGCTTTTGTCTTTTTGATCTCTACGAGAGCTGGGGGAGTTGGCTTGAATCTGGTGTCAGCTGATACAGTAAGCTTTTAACTTTTTATATGTTTTGTGAGTTTAAAAGGAAAGGTTCTTTCTATTATTATTATTTTTTGATAAAACACAAAATTTTATCAATAAAGTGGAATATCCAAGGTGGGACCAAGGGAGATACTAAAAGATCTCCACATAAAGAATAGTTACAAAAAGTTTTAGATTTGAGACACAGAGAGTTAGCACATAAAACAATAACATCCAAACTTCCCAAAACAAAGTACTAGTGTTCTATTGATGATTGATCCAAAGCACCTTTTTTTCTTTGAAACTATGACCGTATAAACTCGTCTTAATAAAAATTTCATAGGTTTAATTCCTAAGGAGTGAGCTTCAATAATCAAAGACTTTAGACTGATCAGTCTTACTACTATCTATGAAGATCTAGATTACAGGGATATTGAAGTATGTTATGTCATCCACAATTTCAAATAATCAAAGCAACTTTATTGAAGGAAGGCAAATTCTAGATCCAATTGTTATTGCCAATGAAGTTACGGAGGAATATAAATCCAAAACAGGAGAGTGGTTGGCTTCTAAACTCACAAATACAGACACTAAATGGCGAAGTGGGCGGTGACTTGGGCGGCAAGGGGCAGCAAACTCGATGGTTCGACGAAGTGGGCAATTTCTTCCTTGCAGACACAACCTTGTTTCTACACATTTAGTTTTTTTTTACCTGTTTTTTTCCTTTTTATTTTATAAATTTGTGCTTGAGGTCCGATTTTGATAGAACCACGATTTTATTATTTTTGTTCAGAGAAGAATTACAAGGGCCTAGAAAGATTTCGAGAGCTCTCTATTCTCCCCATGTTAACTCTTACCAAAACAAGCAAAGAGATACCATTCTGTCATCCTCCCAGCCAAAATATATCCTACACTATTGTCCATCTTGTATTATCAGTAGCCTTCCAAGTAGCCTACCATCTTCCCACCAAACCAGGACCTCAGTGTCCTTCAATTTGGGCGATTGAATGATCCCTAAAATTTTAGTAGGTTGTAGTGGGGTGGCAAGTCTTACGTGGAAAAGTCAATACTTTGGATCGTATTCAAAGGTGTTCTCCCTTCTTTTTGGGTCTGCAGTGGTGTGTGCTTTGCGGAGGTGTTTTAAAAGAATCTTGACCATATTCTATAGTCCTTGTCAGTTTGTGCGTGGTATTTGGGATCGTTTTTTTAGTACATTGGAATGTCTTTGGTTAATAAAAAGGACTGTTGGGCAATGATAAAGGAGGTGCTATTGTCCCCCCTTCAGGATAGGATAAAATTTTTGTGGCTGACCTGTTTCCTCGCTATTTTGTGGTGTTTGGCTTGAGAGAAACAATAGAATTTTTAAGGATAGAGGATCCAGGGAGTATGTTTGGGAGCTTATAGAATTAATATTTTCCCTCGGGAGGTTGGTTTCTAAGAATTTTTGTAATTATTAGTTAGGCGTTATTCTTTTGGATTGGAGCCCCTTTCTCTGGGGTGTCCTTTGGTTGGACTATTTTTTTGTATGCTATTTTTTTATTTTTCTCAATGAAACAGCGGTTTCTCATTATTAAAATAATAATAATAAAC